TTTCTTTCCTTCCACCTCACCACCCTTCCCTTCAGTGGTCTTGATGTAAGGTCATATTTCATTTTAGAAGGATAAGAAGCCTGGCATGGTGGCTGTGCCTGTCGCCCTAGTTACTCAGGAGCCTGAGGTGGGAAGATCACTTGAGCCCAGGAGTTTGAGACCAGCCTGAGCAACATAGTGAGACCCTGTCTTCACATTTTTTCTTTTTTAAAAAAAGTAGCCAGGTATGGTGGCTGTGCTTGTAGTCCTAGCTATTCAGGAGGCTGAGATGGGAGGATCACTTGAGCCCAGGAGTTCGAGGCTGCAGTGAGCTGTGATCACACTACTGCATTCCAGCCAGGGTGACAGTCTCATAAAGGGGGAAAAAAAAACCTCTCCCCAGCATTGAAACTTCCTGTAAGCTAGTTGACCAAATCTCAACATTAGCTCCCAGGTTATGTGTGTCCAAGCAATGTGTACGTGAACAAATGCAGGCTGTGGTTTTAATTACCATGATGTCTTCAAGGATTGTGTCTGTCCTCCCTGTATGGAGATTCCAATTTACTAGTTTTAAGATGTGATGAATAAAAGTCTGTCCTCGTAATTGACCAAGGCGATGTAGGCCTTGAAGGGATGAATCTTAGCTACGTGGCCGCCTAACTCACGCTGAAGCCATGCTCACTGCATCTGAGCAGGTGCCACTTTCACTTCTTGTTTTTTATCTTTATTTTTAAATTTCCTAAGTTTTGCTTGGTTTTTACCTTCCCCTGGTTTTCTGGTTTGGCAGATGCATTTGTACTTTTCGGAGAGATATTTAAACCATTTGTGTTAGAGGGTGTGTGTGTGTGAGATGGAGTTTCGTTCTTGTTGCCCAGGTTGAAGTGCAGTAGTGTGACCTCGGCTCACCGCAACCTTCACCTCCTGGGTTCAAGGGATTCCCCTGCCTCAGCCTCCTGAGTAGCTGGGATTACAGGCATGCACCACCATGCCCAGCTAATTTTGTATTTTTAGTAGAGATGGGGTTTCTCCATGTTGGTCGGGCTGGTCTTGAACTCCCAGCCTCAGATATTTATTTTTAATGGTGTCCTGTCAACAGTACATTGAGGATACAATTTAAGAACTCAAATGTGTTTAAACACAACTTAGCAAATGTTCTGTCTCATCATTTGGCATTTGGCCTCTGCAATTTCATCTTATTTAATGGCATAATCAATATTCTTGATTTGAAATACTTCCTTTTATTCTTTGTCTTGATGGCAATATTTTTTTAAATGTACCCTATTTGACTTCCTTCTCATAGCACCCTCCCTCAAAATATTCTTGATTGCTACAGTAATTCATACCTATTTAGGTCTGTCTATGTAGCCTCATTATCTATCTATCAAAACAAAAACTGTGTATTCTGGGAAGGTGCTAAGACAGAGCCTTACAACACTAGACCCCCAGAGAGATCATTTGCTGTGTGGCATCTGGTAAGTGACGCACGGGCTCTCCTCTCCCGAGCAAGACATCTAGTTGTTACCTGCCAATCTGTTCAACCAGTTATGGAGTAACTTTGCTGCCTCTCCACTTCACGCAGATATGATAGAGTTAATTACTTACTATGTTTGCTAAGCACATTGGGTTCCCTAGAGAAAGCATGCCACATAAATATATATAAATGAATTATTAACTAAAGTTTAGGCAGATTGCTCAGTGAGTTCTTCCTTAACTGCCCCATTTTCCTAATGAGTGTTTTGAAGTTACTATCTAGATTTGGTGTCTCTCCCTTCCTTCTTCCCCGTGCCTTCTCCTTCTTCCTCTCCTTAATTTCCTTCTGCTTAATTCTCTTTCCTTTCTGTCAGCTCTGTCAGCGCCCACCATATTGTGGGCACTCAGGCAGTCACAATGATTTAATGCCAGATCTATAGGTAAAAGCCTTCATTAACTCCAACAGGCATCATAAGCTCCTAAGAACTCTAGGGTGAGATTAATAATTGGATAATGATTCTAATATGCTATGAAAATGAGAAGCCAGGCTCATGAAATGCTGAGCATGGTGTGGTTATCAGCAGTGGAGGAAACCCTTGTTTACTGACCCCTTTTCCCTGATCTGTTTCAAGTAAAACAAGAGATCCCAGATAGTTTAAAAATTAATATAAATCAAATCAAACCCCTCCCACAACATCGACTCATCTCTCATCAGCCAGAACAATACAAAGAGATTGCAATTTACGAGCCCGGTTTGGAGGTTTGTTGGATTCTCTTTAAGGGAACAGTGGACTAATTTAGATGAGTATGAAGGAGCGGCATAATTGCTTATTGAATGTTGATGTCCAAATCCTAGTTACTCCTTTACCGGAGATTAAGGGGAATTAGAGAACAGTTCACGTCCATCCTGCTAAACCTGACCCAGTTTATTTACACTGTAATCTTACTTCAGAGCATGAGAAGTAAAATGAGCTGCTCTTATCAATTAATAGCCGAAGAAAAATTTAGGTTTCAAGTTCAACGTAAGAGCTACTTATTCCAAAGCACTACAGAAATGAAGAGGTGCTTCCTTTTAGGCCAGGAGTGGGGAGGGGAGGGAGGAAGTTATGAAGAGAGTTTTTTTCTTTCCCTCCTAAGAGTTTGAATTACTGTGCAATCTTGGATTTTCTAGTGACCTGTGTTAAAGCCCTGGGGCTAGAGCAGACCTATAATGGATCTATTTCTGAATGGTTCAGCAGTATTGGAGTTTAAAACAGCAGTCATGGTACCTGCATGTAATGAGGCCAGCATTTCCTTCTGCATCCAGGAGGCCATTGGTCGCAGCCTACATGGCCTCTCAAAGTACAGAAGGGGCAAGCCCCTCCTTGGCCCACTTCCACAATTCTCCAGGGTAGCCAGTCCTATACTTAGCAGACATGGAAGTCACTCTAGGAACATGAGACAAACGGTCAGCTAAAGACCCTACTCTTGCTTTTAAATCTCCCTACCCTGCCATGCCCACCCCACCTGCAGTACCACATTCCACTATTAGACATTCACTTCTTGGAGTTAAGCCATTGTTCCACATTCAAATACCTCTGAGAGGTATAATACATTTTCTTTACCAGTCATTAATAATTTAGTATTCATTTGACAAACATTTGTTGTTTGTTGGATTGACTTATAACATGCATTGATCACAGGCAGGGAGTGGGAAGATGTGCTTGAGTCCAAAGCTGCCTTTGTACCGCCTGCCCCCCTTCTCTGAACCTCAGCGTGCACACTAGGAAACCAGGGTATTAGATCAGCAGATGTCCAATGTCACTGTCAATCTCAGAACTGTGTATCTCTGATAGCTGTGGGAAGGGGCACAGACCCAACTGTGGTGATAGGTCGGGGGGCACCTGGATGTGAGGACGATGGTGGGAGCCTGAGACAAACAGAATGAACTTGGAAATTCATGAGAAGGCTCGAGAACTCCAAGTTGCTTTCCATCAGCCTGTAGCCTTGGGTCTGAGCTCCAAAGCTCAGCACAGAGCCTGGAATACGATAGGTGCCCAATAACATCAGACAGAAAAGGATGGGAAAGTAACACCTATCTATGTATTCGGTTCTTGTGGCTGCTGGGGCAAATGACTGCACACTATGTGGTTGGAGACAGAGGAAATTTGTTGTCTCACAGTTCTGGAAGGCAGGAGGCCAATCCCGAAATACTGGCAAAGCCGTGCTCCCTCTGAAACTTCAAGACGAGCATAGCTTCTGGTTGCCCCAAACACACCTTGACTTGTGGCATCCTAACTCCAGTCTCTGCCTCCCATGGCCACCTTTTCTCTGGGTCTTCACACTGTCATCCCTCTGTACATGTCTGTGTCTGTATTTCCATCTTCTTTTTTTTTTTTTTTTTTTTTGAGAAAAAAATCTCACTTTGTCACTTAGGCTGGAGTGCATTGGTGCAATTATGGCTCCTGCACATGGCTCTGCCTCCTGGGTTGAAGCCATTCTCTTGCCTCAGCCTCCTGAGTAGCTGGGATTACAGCTACATGCCACCACGCCTGGCTAATTTTTGTATTTTTAGTAGAGACAGGGTTTCACCATATTGGCCGGGCTCCTGACCGCAAGTGCTTCACCCGCCTCAGCCTTCTAAAGTGTTGGGATTATAGGCATGAGCCACTGTGTCCGGTCCCAAATTTCCATCTTCTTACAAAGACACCAGTCATATTGGATGAGGGTTCACCTTATGACTTTTTTTTTTTTCCCCTGAGACAGAGAATCACTCTGTCACCCAGGCTGGAGTGCAGTGGCATGATCTCAGCTCATGGCAACCTAAGCCTTCCAGGTTTAAGTGCTTATCCTGCCTCAGCCTCAGGCGTGTGGCACCATGCTCAGCTAATATTTGTATTTTCAGTGGAGAGGGGTTTTCCCATGTTGGTCAGGCTGGTCTTGAACCCCTGACCTCAAGTGATCCACCTGCCTCAGCCTCCTAAAGTGCTGGGATTACAGTTATGAGCCTCTGTGCCTGGCCCACCTTATGACTTTATCTTAACTTGATGACACCTGTATAAACCCTATTTCCAAATAAAGTCACATTCACAAGTATTGAGAATTAGATCTCTGACATACCTTTTTAGGGAACACAGTTCAACCCATATCAGCCTACTTCCCAGAACTGTTGCAAGAATGAACTGAAATGTGAAATGTCTTGAACACTGGGAAGTGTTTATGCAAATGTAGGAGACAGACTCAGTGGGGATTTGAGTCTGGCCCTGTCTCCCAAGGATCAGGCTACCGCAGACTCTCAGCATAGAAGCTTCCAAAGCCCAATTTAGGGGTGTGAAGACTAATGAGGGAGAAAAAGTGTAGAAAATGAGGTCAAGGCATGAAAGACAAATTTCATTACCTTCAAAGAGTTGCTGGGGCCCACTGTGGGTCCCAAGTGAGGGAGGTGACGGCAAACACCCCACGTGACAACTTAGACTTCCTAGAATGAGACCAGTCTTGCCTGCTTACTGATGCCACACTGGAGAGAATGGAAAGCACTGATTCACTCATTTTTATGTCTTTTATTATCATAGACTGAGAAAGTACTACTAATGAAGAAAAGCTCTGATAAGCACCAGTAATGTACAAACACCACACTAAGCAGAAGACGTGGTTCCTGACCTCTTGGAGTGTGGGTTCTAAAGGACACCCAGACAGACAAGCATAAATTGTATATATTTCTTTCCTTTTCTGGTGAGGAGTGGGTAGCATCAGGGAAGAGTTGCATTCAAATTGATTATGAACCACAGGTCTAAATTTCAATTCTGGCCTGAATAGCAATTTTTCCTGAAGGTTTGAATAAATCATCCAGTCTGCTTTGGTTTCAACTATTTTCAGCATTTCTATTTTAATCATTAATTCTGACTGCTAAGGACCCCGGAGTTACTGAGCCTGTTTGCGACTTAATTTGGGATGGGAATGAGGTAGGAGGCAGAGGATGTGCTGAGAACCCAACAGGAGAAGATGGGTTTGACCTGGAGTTTTGAAAGCTTAGGGTCAGGTACGAGGGACATTTTCTTGTTAGTGATAGCTCTAATTCTTTGTTTTGCTCTGGCAGGGCGGATTATGGAATTTGCACAAATAGTTTTAGTGAAGACAAGAGAGGTTCTCATATAAGGAAGATGGTTTAATTTTCATTCTGACTTGACTGCAGAGAGACAGTTGGATGAACTCTGCATTAAGGTAAATCACAGAATCTCAGATAATAAATGTCTATAATCCATTCTGCTCCCCTTTTTGCTTTGAATGGTAAGAAGCTCAGAGCTAATTATACTGTCCCATCGGTCAGGTTCAGCTCAGGGCACTGTTTCAGTTATCTATTGCTATAAACAAACTACCCTCAAACTTAGTGGTTCAAAACAACAATTTATTTTTATCTTTCATAGTTCAGTGAGCTGACAGGACTCAGCTGGGCACTTCTTGCTTGCAAATTCTCATGCAGTTTCAGTGGAATGGGGGCTAGGGTTGGAGTCATCTGAAGACTCAACCAGGATGGATGGCCAAGATGGTTTGCTCATTCACATCTGGCACCTGGGCTGGGCTGGCCCGGATGGTTGGAGGCTGGCTGAACGCCTCTCTCTCCATCCATGTGGCTAGCTTGGCCCTCTCACAACATGCTGGTAGCTATATGGTGGCTGACTTCGGAGAGGAGAATACTGGGAGAACACTTCCCTTAGGATGATACTGGGAGATGTCGCTCATGAGTGGGGTCATCATTAGAGACATACTGCTACAGGTATTTATCCTTTAAAATTTTTCATGGTCTTATAAGAGCTATGTCTTTCTTTGTGAGCCTTTATCGAAAGTTAGAAAGTATGGCTAATGCACAAACAATGCTTTACTCTTGTCTAGGGCTCAACAATTTACCATGCACCCTCACTATGCTACCTTACCTGGCCTTCACAACACCTTTGTTAATGTACAAAGGTAGATTAACTTTGTCCCATTTTTACAGACACAGAGACTGAGGGCTGAAGATGAGTGGTCTTCCCAAGCTAGCCCAGCTATGATGAGGTGGGTTGCTCAATGTGTCCGGCATAGAAATCTATGTTCTCAAGCACCTGGTGAAGTGCTAGCAGAGATCTATGCCTAAAACCCAGAAGTGACCCCCCAGCATGCACCTGGTTGCCTCTCCACTGGCCCTTCACAGTGAGAGTTCAGTGTAGTGACATGGGCACTAGTCATTGAGGAAAATTACTAGAATCCAAATGGGCTCTGCCACCTCCTGACTGTGAACCTGGGATCTTTCCTATGTCTCCGTTTCTTCATTTGTCAAATGAGGCTGATGATAGTAACAGTGTCTACGTCTCCTGGTTGCCAAGAGAATTACATGAATGAAGGCCTCAAAGTAATACTTGATAAGAACTGAAAAAGAAACCTCTCCGCGAAAAGCTGTACAGATAAGTGGCTATTAAGAGAACCCCGTTCTAGCTGCCTCTTCTCTGTGTGCTTCTTGCTTTTATATGGACTTTACTAAGCATCCCAGCTGATGATGACATTTCATTTTGCTTGATATTGCATATTATCAGGTGGACTAAAAGCCCTAAATCGATGTTAATGCCTGCTTGAGTATTGCGATTTGAGCTGCAGGATGCAGTTACAAAATATGCCCATGACTTATAGGCACAGCCTGCCTTTCCCCACGCTCTCACGTGCACTTACTCTCTTTTCAATTTTTTCTAGTGACATTCTCTCCTTCAGTGCCCATTCACTCTCTTCTCACTCACTGTCCCCACTGGAGCTGCACATTCACCCCTAACTTCTCTCTACTTCTTTTTCAAACACATGTTCTTCTCAACACACTCACACAAATATGTCCTTGCATCTGTGAACACATGCCCTTGACCTTCTACATCCTGTGCACTTTCCTTCCCCAGACACCCAGTATACAGGGGCTTCTGTGCTCGCTGAGCCTGAAATTCCCGCTTCGTATCCCAATACCCCCGTGGATGGCAGAAGTTTCTGCAACTATGGCGGCAGGGTAGGAAGCAGAGCTGGGTATGAATGAGGCGGCCCTGGACACCTGGTTGCACCTGCCTGGAAATGTTCAGCTCACAAAGCTTTTCCTTCATGGCCCAAGAGGGCCAGAGAATGGATTCCCCTGCTGCCCACCCGGACAGTGCACAAATAAGCCATGGGCTGCCCAGAGTGCTTATGTCAGTAGCTGCTGCTTAAGGGGGAAAGTACTCCCGACACAGGGGAAGACTTAGCTAAGGGAAGCTGCCTGCTTTTCCCCCAAGCTCAGGGGGAAAGAATTGAGCTGAATATGCACCTATTCAGAAGGGCAAAGAGCCAAAAATAACTAGGAGCAACAGCATTTCATCTGACAGGCCCAGAAATAGAGCTCATTTTAGAGCATGCCATGGCTACAGACCGAGTGCTTCCAAGACCTTCAGCTTCCCATGAAAATACATGGAAAAGGTTTCAGTTCACACAAATACTTCCTTTTCCTCCTTTACCACAACTTCCCAAAGTGAGGGCCCTGTGGCCCATAGGAAGAGAGTCTGCAGAGTCAGGGATTTGAGGCTCCAAGGATGGGGTCTGAGGATGAGGAGATGAGGATGGTATCTGGTGGAATGTTCTTTGGAGGGAAGAAGCAAGAAGTAACTGTGAAACATGCGGGATTTGAAACACGGAGAAATAGACAGGAAATGGATATAGGGAAGGTAATGGCTACTGGAATCACAAGAAAAATGGAAGCACTGCCCCTGAAACAATGGCATGCAGGATTTCTCTACATCCCAGAGGTCGCCTTTGGCAGAAGGAAAGGCCATGGTTTTCCTATCGGGATGGGGAGTCTGTTGCTTAACAGCAATCTTCTATTTTTGCTTTTCTCTCTTCTATTTTTGTTTTCTTCTCTTTTATGTTGACATAAAAGGCAAATGTCATGGTTCATTCATCTTCATTCTGAATAACTGAAATTCCAGGAAGGAGGGAGGGGGAAGAAAGGAGAAGACTGCAGAATTCCAGAGAACCATGAGTGTGGACATAGCCAGGTTCTAACAGAAAGAGATGGGAGACAATGAATACAGAAAGGAAAGAAGGAGGAAGGGAGGAAGACAGGGAAAGAAACATGGTGGAAGAGGAACACATAAAAAAGGAAGATGTTGGATTCAACTTTATTCAGTGAATAGTTCAAGAATTTTCTATGTACAAGGCATGGGGCTACACAGAAACGGTTAAGAAACAACCCCGCTTTCAGGGGTTGAAGAGTCTACTTGAAACAACCCACTTTCAGGTCTACTTGAAGAGAACAGGCCAACTAACAAACCCAGAGTTTTGGCAGAATTAGCTAATGGCCACTTAGGGTTACAGGTGATGCCTGGCGGGGGCACAGAGAACCGAGCCATTGTGTTTTGACCCAAGGCCATGAGGGAAGATTCCCTAAAACTGGCAGCATTTGCCTGGGCCTCAGAGATTTATGTGGGAGGATAAGCAGATGGAAGGAACAGTCTCTACTCCTGCAGAATGCCTTCCTACCCACCTCCGGTCATCCAGAGGTCATTTATCTCTGCCCCAGACATCCTTAGTACATAGAAATATGATTTCCAAGTGCCGACATGGGCAAGGCTACTCCAAAGGTAAGTTTTTACTGATTCACAGCAAAATGCAACATATAAAGACAAAACAGAAGTAAAATATTCAGATTAAAGAACAGCCTTTTTGTTTGTTTGTTTGTTTGTTTTTGAAATAAGGTCTCACTCTGTTGCTTGGGCTGGAGTGCAGTGGTGTGATTAGAGCTCACTACAGCCTTGACCTCCTGAGCTCAAGCAATCCTTCCACCTCAGCTTCCTAAGTAGGAAGCTGTGGTGGTGTGTGCCTAGGACTGCAGGCACACACCACCACAGCTGGCTGATTTTTGTGTTTTTAGTAGAGACAGAGTTGCCCAGGCTGGTCTCGAACTCCTGGTCTCAAGTGATCTGCCCGCCTCGGCCTCCCAAAGTGCTGAGATGACAGGTTTGAGCCATGGTACCCAACCCTGTCTTTTCTTAGGATGTGAGGTCCTTCCTGATTTTTTGATGGTAAAAGGCCTTGTATTTTTAATGCAATGATACTGATAGAAGTTAGTATACTAGGTTGGATTATAAAAACTAGTTTTGCTTGGTAAGTTAATAGTTGACCAAATGCATTGGTCTCTGAGACCTGACTGATCTTAAACCATTTTGGAGTCTGAGAGCACCTGGCCTGGAATCCACAAGGTGCCACCTGGGCCTGCAGATTCAGCCCTTTCTCCAGTTCCTCCCTCCAGGCCTTGGGAATCTCCTCCTACAGGTGGGCGATGAGGAGCCCAGGACTCTGTGCCTTTGTCCTCTCCTGTGTTGAGGTGTGGAATTGGTCACTTTCCAGGGCAAGTGATAAACTGACTCACAGCAAAGCAGTAATGAGGAAGGCCAATCTCTCCCTGGGGTCTTTGACTTTTAGTGGAGTGTTAAAACTTAATTTAAACTGATGAATTGTAATCATCCCATCCTTCCATGGGATGATGGGGAAAATATATTTCTTTTTAAATAAAGGGCTTTCTTCTGAAATCAGACCACACCCTTTCAATGACTGACACAGACTGCTGGAGAGACACAAGAGTAATAGCTGATTCTGTCTTCTAGATCAAAATGTGCCACTCCCCAGTGAAAAGAAAGCCTGACTTTTTCTCTGCCCGTCTACAATACAGGATGGAGCAGTCAATCCCACCACCTCTAGCTCTGGATGAAAGAGCAACTCACATATCCCTCTCTTTCTTTTTTTTTTTTTGAGTTGGAGTCTCTCACTGTCACTCAAGCTGGAGTGCAGTGGCGCAATCTTGGCTCACTGCAACCTCCACCTCCTGGGTTCAAGTGATTCTCCTGCCTCACTTGAATAGCTGAGATTACAGGTGCCCACCACCACGCCCAGCTAATTTTTTGTATTTTTAGTAGAGATAGGGTTTCATCATGTTGGCCAAGCTGGTCTCGAACTCTTGACCTCGTGATTCACCAGCCTCGGCCTCCTAAAGTGCTGGGATTACAGGCATGAGCCACCATGCCTGGCCCACACATCCCTCTTAGAAGACCAAACTCTGGCCAGTTTTCTGCATGCCTGATGCTCCTTGCAAAAATAGATCTGTCCCGCCTACCTCTGGAATCCTGGGGCTTCGGGTGGTGCCCAATCCACAGTAGGAGCACAATAGGATATGAGTGAGGGAGGGAGAAGTGAGCAGTGGCAGGTTAAAAACAGCCCAGCCTCCAGTGAGGCACTCTGCTTACCTACGCTCAGGTAAATCCAAAAACTCAAAGCTCACAAAGACTTGAAAACTCCCAATTCCATGAATCCTGATTACGAACAACCCAAAGGAACCATTTAGCTCCCTGAAGACTAACAGAGTCTGTGTGCAATGTACAAAGAGAGAAACTCCAGAGCATGCATGGCCCAGGAAGACAGGTGGAAACCCTAGATGTGCTGTAATGCCTGTTGAAGCCCCTTCCCCTGAACTGGCCAACAATTTTCCTTCCACATACATTTAAAGTATAGTCTGTATTTTGACTTGATGGAAAAAAATGTAGACAGGATCTGGGACAAAGCCACCAAATCTTTTGTTCCCTTGGACACTCGATAGAATAAATGGTTTTCCACGTCACACAGAATTTCAAGTGCTTTGTTTCTGCAGAAGTGGAACAGAGATAGTGGAGCATCTGTCAAAACCCCCAAAATGTTTTACTGTGGTGGCGACTGGCTGGGAGGAGCAAAGCCCGGGGTTCTTAAAAGCCAGTAGTTCTGGAAATGGAGGAGGCTTGTTTGAGCCAGCACGTAGCGTAACCTGGGCGCTTGTTAGAAAAGTACATTCTCAGGCCCCTCCCAGGACCAACTGAGTCAGAAATTCTATGGCTGGAGTCCAGGAATCTGTTTTCACAATCCCCCCAGGTAATTCTGAAGTTTGAGAACCAGTGGAGTAAGACCAGGGGCCTCACACAAGGCCACAGCTCTTAGGTGACCTAAAAAAAGTGGATGACAGCTGAGGAGCCTCCATGCCCGGTTGTGGCCAGGCCTGTACTGAAGCAGCTGAGGGTGCCCGTCCAGGCACAGGGGATGCCCGTCCAGGCACAGGGGATGCTCATGCCCGTCAAACCACCGTGGGCACTCCGTCTCACCACCAGCTTCTCCCCGACTCCTGTTGTGACTTGACCTATGCTCGTGGCACTGGGAAAGGGCTGTGGCCTCTCAGGCTATTATTAGTTCCAATCCGCACAAGTCCACTAGTGCCAAGGGAAGCTTCTTCGAACTTTGGAAGGCAGGTTAACTGTTTCAGAGCAGCAGCTGCGGGCCCAGACAGTGATCTGAGACTCCAGACGCAGCAGAGCGCTCTGAAGAGCGCCAGGGCCGGCGGCCCTTCTCCGCCAGGCCGAAGAACCCGGGTCCGAGAGCAGCCTGTCTCATCCTGCGTCCCCAAGGCCGAGGATGTGTCCCGGTTTTTTAAAAAGCTGTTTGTGCACTTCCAGGCGCTCACCCCTTTTATTGGGGCTCCAGTATCACTGTATTGACCTAATTAATTCATTTTCTTCTCTGTCCAAAGTGGAAGCCGAAGCACAGGGATGCAAATTAAATACAAACCCGTTCTGGGTGCCAATACTCCGGACAATTAAAACAAAGAGCGCAGCGGCGGCGGTGGCGGCGGCACCACACAAAACCCTCGGGAAACATCCAGAACGTGCGGCGAACCAGCCGGCAGGGTGGGGCGCAGCCCGGCTGCAAACGTGCCAGCAGGGAGGCGGTCCCAGCCCGGCAGGTGGACAGGTGGAGGTTGGCAGGGGTCAAAATCCATCTCGCAGGCCTGGGACCCGGGCAGCTGCGCCGCACAACTCCAGGGGGCACACTCGCCCTGCGCCCTGCGGGAATGGCGCCCCGGCCAAAAAAGCAACCAGACAAAAACCCATTGCACTGGCGGGAACTGGGCTGTGCGACCCACGAAAGGGGTGGGTGGGAGGGGAGAATGCGGGAGCGAGGAAGAGAATGGGAAGGGAGAAAGAGGAAAGGGAGGAAAAGGAGAAAGTGAAAAAGCGAGGGGGTTTGGGAGAGGGAAGAGGGAGCCGGAGGGAGAGGAGGGGGATCGCAGAGAGCAGGAGCGCGGAAAGGGGGCGGGGGAGGAGCGGGGAGAAAGGGAAACGGGGGTGCGCCGGGGCCGAGCGACTCGGGCGGGGGGGGGTTGGCAGCGGCCAGGGGGCGGGACCCGGCTCCGTGCCCACCTGCGTGGGCGCCCGCTGCCTCGAGTGGTGGTAGCCCGGGGCCGGAGGGAACGGCCGGGGGGCGGGCTGGGCAGGGAGGCAGAGGGGAGGGAGGGGACGGGGAGGCGGGGAGGAGCCGGCGCTTGGCTGGGGCTGCGGGGGCGGCGACGGCGGGAGCGGCAGTGGCGGCGGCGGCGGGTCCGGAGGTGGCGGCAGGTGGCCCCGCGCGCAGCGGCCGGCCCGGCCGGGGGCGGGCGGGAAGGTGGTGCCTCGGGCGGGGGCCGGTCCCTGCACCAGGTGACCTGTTCCGGCCCGGATCCGGGCGGCCTCGCCATGCAGCGGCGCGGCGCGGGGCTCGGGTGGCCGCGGCAGCAGCAGCAGCAACCCCCGCCGCCCGCGGTCGGTCCCCGGGCCGCAGCCATGGCCCCCCCGGGTGGTGGCGTCCCCCCGGGCCTCGGCGGCAGCCCTGCCTGCGCGCTGCTCCTGCTCTGCTACCTGGTGAGCGCCGGACCCTGCCCGGGTCCTCCCCTCCGCGCGGGGCCCCGGGAACGCGGGTGGGGGCGGCCAGGGACACCCGCCACGCCGGGCGGGGACGCCGCCGCTAGTTTTCTCTCTTCCTCGCCGCTGCGCCTGGGGCGCTCCCGGCACCTGGGATGGGTACCCCGGGCGTGGAGAGGGGCGCGTGGACTGGACTTGCCGTGCTGCTCTCTCGCTCGTGCCCATTCCTCTCCCTCCTGTACTCGCTCTAGACCCAGGTCGGTTTCCCTCGAGACTCCTTTTGGTCCCCGACTCCACCCGGGAGCCTCGCTGCCTGGAGTTCACTGCCCGCCCCGCCGCTCACGGTCTCCAGCCCCCTCCCGAGCCCTCTTGGGCTTCCCTCTCTATCTTCCCGATGCTCCTTTCCTTCCCGTGCCCAACTTCGCCTCTTTCTCTCGGTGCCCGCCACCCGACTCGACCCTCCTTTCAGTTTCCACCGGGTCTTCCCGGCCCGGACGGTTTTCCGCCAACGCACCTCGCATCTCCAGCGCTCTCCAACTCCTCCTTGGTCACTCCAGCCAAGTTGCGGATGCCGGAAAGAAATCTAGTTCTCTGTAACACGCTTACCGCCAGAGTGGTGACTTTAGCTACGCCGTGAATCCATTGTCATATCAAAGAATATGTTTGGCTCATGCATGGAAGTTCGCAATTTGCACACTTCTTGGCTTCTGTTTTAGTCATTGACTAAAGGGCAGTAACCTATTTTTCAAAACCAATTTATTTTAAATGCCAGAGTAGTGGAGACCCTCAGAACAAGGTGGGGGGAAATTTTCTCAATTTCTTTGATGGCTTGCTTGCTTATATTCTGAGTTCTCCTAAACAATAGTAAATTTACAGAAGGCGACACCCTTCCTGCCCAGCCTACCTTACGTTCCAAAATCCTGCAGAAACCTTGGGTTATCTCGCCATATATTACTGTAAATAAATGAAATGGAAAATGCTGAATCATGAAACTGATGTAATAGGAAATTCACAGAATGCCAAAGAAAAAAAATGAGCAGTGTCATTGTCCGCAATTCATTTCACTTATGTGACATTGTCATTATTTGGAGTCTTCCTTTTTGGAAGCCAAAAACTGCTTAGGAGATACTGGTAGGAATTAGAATTTGATTCCGAAGAAATTTGCCACCCAACCCAAGTTTCTTTTAATGCCTTTTACTTCTTGAATGTTTCGTTTCTTGAAGCAAGAAGGTGTAAAAATGCAAATTATGATTCTGCCTGTGCATCTACCTGTTGAGCCATCCGTGCTTCTACTCATCTTTCAAAATTAGCCAATACCAAATTGTGTGGTTTGGTCTTATTTCGTATTTTCATAAGAAGTTGTCAGTTCACATGAATGATTTTTTTTTTGCCCGAGATATTATTATTTAATATTTATGCCACAAGGTTACAACACACAGGCTCATAAATAAAACTGCCATAACAAATGACAAGATTTCAGTTTAAATAGATGATCCCTGTACACAAGGCACTGCTGGCGGCCCACAGAGGCAGAAGTAATGTAGTAGAGGGGTGTGTGAAACATTCATGTACAGATGGGCTGGGCCAGAAACTTCCACGGGGACATCTCAAGACCTGGCAAGGAGGGGGATTCCTTCGGGACAGTTCAGGAAGTCAGAGTCAGGAGAGCAAAGCCTAAGGGCCTAAATGGGCTCTGGGAACAGAGACACATGATGGAGGAAGTATCATTCATGTTAAAGCTCTGTGTAGACCAAAGGGGATTAAGAGAACAGAGAGAAAAAATGGTGCCATGGATAGACTCGAGTGAGAAAGCGAAGGGGTGAGGAAGGGCTCCAGAAAGAGGGATTTTAGAAAATACTGTAATGTGAAAAATAACCAGAGCGTGGATGAATGTCTTGGCAGACGGGGAAGGAGCGGATTTGGGACCTCATGGAGAGGGAAATGTCAGTGCTTCCTGCCTCTGTATGCTTCCTCCAGATGAATTTCTGATATGCTTACTGTACAAGAGAGACTTTGATAAACCAGAGTCCTTTTGCAACTGAATGAATGAATGAATGCAAGCCCAAGGACACAAAAGTCGACTTAAAAGGTGGTTTCCACAGTTTGTTCTGAAGGTCTAGCTATTGATTAGCGATCGATGTTGCTCTTGGGTCTGTGCTACCTGAGATAGTACTGAAGGTAAGGCTTCTTGATCTTGGAGAAGCTTGGTGTGTGAATTGGAGGAAATGTAAATATCCATATGAAACACTTGAAATACACAGAATAGAGAGAAAATGCAAATGCATAATTGCATGCATTCTGCTCAATCAAGGAATGCTACCTGGAGGAAGTGGTTGGTCAGGGGGATGGGGCTGGGCAGGAGCAGAGTAGAGATGGAGCAGGATAGCTAGGCAGGATCTCAGGAGTATGTAGACTCTCCAGGAAGAAAGCTCTTTCATAATGTGAAAGCCTACATGGTAATAACAATAGCTTGCATTGGGCCGAGTCGTTTCTAGGCATTATCCAGTATTAATCTTAGCAACAACCCTGTGAGATAGGAGCTATTATGATCTCCATTTAGATGAGATAACAGAGACACAGAGAGGTTAAGTTAGTTGCCCTGGCCACACAGTCTGAGATTGAAACCCAAGTCTAGTCTAAAAAACCAGAATCTAAAGACATCAGAGTCTGCCTCCAGAGCCCCAGCTCTGATTCCCGCTAGCTTATTGTCTTCTGGATTTTGCAGCTTGTAACTCATTCTTCATCGATGTACGGGGTCATTAGCAAAGCTCTAGCAATTAGCAGCTACTGTGCAATTGGCCAGGATGTGAGGTCATGTCTAAAGTAATCTAAAATATACAAAGCAGGAAACTCAGGCCACAGAATAGAAGCAGGATGTTAAAGGGGGGAAGAAAGGTAAAGCTACAAAATATTTGCCATCGTTAATGAAGAGGTAAAGGTTTGGGATTTTTATGTAGTCCAGAGGCAGCTGATGGAGTGTAGCATTTGAGTTCCTATGAATGTGCGTACAAGTGTACAGCAAATGTGCCTTGGAATGCATTCCAAAGCCAAATTGCCTCTGATTTGGGGACAAGTTCCTGTTTTGTGTTATCTTTACCTATTTGCCTTTTCGTAAGAGCTGGAGGTAGAGAGTGGCTTCTGAATAGACGCCTTTAAGCCACTGCCCTCATGGGAAGCATGGTTCCTGGAGTCAGGGTCCTGAGGAGTGGACGCCTGCCTTCTCTATGGGCTGGGACGGAGTAACCTTCAGTATCAGCTCAAGAAGAGTACTGTGTCTGTAGCTAGGATACTGCCAAAGCATGAATAATTGTGATGAGGGCTGAAAGATAAGTCACAGAATGATGCCAAACAGATTTCTGAAAAGATGATCCCTGGTTCCAGTGGCTGCCAGAAAATTCTGAGGTCACCAAAGGTCAAGATACAGAAAGCCTCCTCAGAAAGGGGAGGGCGTCGGAAGCAAAGGATAATGAAATTGCTTCTACTGAGGTCTCGGGTGCTGAGTACTGCGCTCCATGCACAACTTACCCTGCCCAGCGGGACCCTTGCTATTTCCTTACACCATTAACTCTTACCTTCCTCCAGCTTGGCTAGAACCGGCCTGAGGCTGCCCCAGCTCTCTATCTGTGACAGTGTCACTTGTAGAAGGCAATTCTGTCCATCCTAAGCTCTGGTCTCCAATGTATAATATTTTCCTATATGAAAATATTATATACATTATATCTCAGGATGGCCAGTATTGATGTCAGCTGTCGAGTTGAAATGATCAGAGTGGATAGCTGCACTTGTTAGACAGTCAGACTGAGGACCAAGAAGAGGACAGTAACAGCACAGATACATGTGGGACAGTTAGCAGACAGTGGCTGTGACAACCTTGGACAGGATTCTCTGTACATGGCCACATACCCTTAGTCATCCATCTAAGAGTATTCATTAACCCCTCACTAGGTGTGCAGTGCAGGCCATGGGAAGATCAAAACAAAGTAAAGAGAACTGCAATTATCCAGCTTGAGGGGGAGGATTATGAATATTTGAAAACAGAGATCATCCCCAAACCTCACATCAACCAGTAGCTGCCATATTCATCCTGACCAGAGCTCCTAAAACCTCCCGAGCCATGGTATTGGCCTCTTGCCTTCTATTTCTTCTGGCTGCTTATTGGCAGAAGTGTCGGAACCAGAGGACAGGCAGGAGAGAATGACCCAGGCAGTTCGCTGGGAGGATGGGTAGACTGGAGTGGACCGTAAATAGCCTAAAGTGAATTCAGTTACCCTGTTTATTGGTTCATGCCATTCCCCTGAGAAAGGAGCCGAGAGGGGCAGGAGGCGTCTGTGGGACGTGAGGAATGGCTGATGGGATTCTGCCTTGGCAGGTCTTGCTTCCTGTCTCTACCTGGAGAAGGGCTTGGTGATGCCAGGGAGCTGGCTGAGTCTGGTGTTTGTGGTTAAGGCAATATCTATCTCCTCCAAACTCAAGGCCTGAGGGCATGATGGCATTTTAGCCCCTGACCCTTTCAAGATGAGAATGCGGGAAGTTATAAGATTCCCCCACCCTGCAGCCAGAAAGCAGTGACGGTGTCAAAGCTGGGGGCATGCATCGAGGGCATCTTCTGTGGATGTTGTTGGAAAATGAGAGGCACTCTCTCGCTGACTTTGGAGTCGGCAAATGAGGATTTGAATGTTGGTCCTGCTTTTGGTAGCTGGTTGACCTTGGGCAAGTTACTTACCCTCTCTGAAGCCATTCTGTCGCCTCAGCTGCAACAGTGGGACTCTGTCTCCCTCTGTGGGTTGCTGTGAGGATTGGGTTAGAATTGAGAAGTTCTGTGAGGTCCCATGTGAGAGGATGAGGTTAGAAGTCACAGAGAAAAAAAGGTTTAACATACCCAGTGCTCAGTACACAGTAGGTACTCAATGAAATAAGAGCAAACCAACCTTAGGTAGCTTTGTGTGATGTGGGTTGGGAAGAAACAGCATGCTAAATAGAATGGGGGAGAATCTTCCACA